CATCAAACTTAAAATGGGTGCCTTTCAATGCTCGCTGTAAGCTGTGGAGCCTTGTGAACAAAAAATCTACTTTGTGAGCTACTGGCATTAAAGTTGTGAGTGAGCAATTTGGCTACTGCATAAATTTGTTTGCTCTGGAGCCATCCCTTCCTGAGCTAAGACAAAAATGTGTGAGCCAGAGGCTAAAAAATTATGAGCTAGCTCACACTAACTCAGCTTAGAGGGAACACTGGTGCCTTCTTATGTCCAAAAGCCTTGGCTGTGAGAAAGAAGAAGAAGAGAAGAGATTGGATTTATACCCAGTGGCCCTTCACTACCCAAAGGTGTCTCAGAGCGGCTTACAAACTCCTTTCCCTTCCCCTCCCCACAACAGACACCCTCTGAGGTAGGCGGGGCTGAGAGAGCTCTAACAGAAACTGCTCTTTTTCAAGGACAGTTCTTATCAAAGCTACGGCTTGCCCAAGGTCATCCAGCAGCTGCAAGTGGACGAGTGGGGAATCAAACCCGGTTCTCCCAGATTAGAGTCTGCGCACTTAACCACTACACCAAACTGGCTCTCTGCTTTTGTATGAACTGCAAAACTTTTGGATAAAGGGCTTGCCTCTTTGCACTGGCTGTAGATGCCGAGTCTTTTTTTGGTACCTTGTAAACTGTCTGCTGTAACAATTTGATATGCTTGGGTCACGTTGCTTTGACTCTTTTGGGTGACGTTTGATTGACCCTTGGGATTTTCAAAGCTGCTTCGATGCTGTATCCTCATTGTACCAAAGCAGAACATGCAGTTCTTATGGGAATTAGCTAACTGCAGAGTGTGCTTGAAAGTTGCAATTCTGTACACTCCTGTGCCTGTGTGTTTCTGCATTTCTAAAGTGTCACCAGGTTGCAGCCAACTCATGGAGACCTTGTAGGCTTTCAAGGCAAGAGAGGTTCAGAGGTGCTTCGCCGTTGCCTGCCCCTGAATAGCGGACCCTTGACTTCCTTGGTGGTTCTCCATCCAAATGCTAACCAGAGCTGACCCTGCTCAGCTTCTGAGAACGATTGGGCTACCCGGGGCCATCCAGCTCAGGGCTCTGTGCATTCCTACCTGGCATTTTATCTATGTTTATTTATTTATGGTGGCTCAAGTGGTTAAGACGCCGAACTGCAGGCTGTGGAAGGTCAGTAGTTCATCAGTTCGAGACCCGGGTGTAAGACAGGGTGAGCTCCTGTCTCTAGTTCCAGCTCCTGCCAACCTAGCAGTTCGAAAGCAAGAAATTGCAAGTAGATAAATAGGGACCACTTCGGTGGGAAGGTAACAGCGTTCCATGCGCCTTGGTGTTTAGTCATGCCGGCCACATGACCACGGAAACGTCTTCGGACAGCGCTGGCTCTTTGGCTTGGAAACGGAGATGAGCACCGCAACCCTAGAGTCGGATTCGACTGGCTTCCGAGCAAGGGAGACCTTTACCTAGACCAACTTTATAATCGTCTTTGGCCGCATGCAATAAATATTTACTACTGCTCTGTTACCTGGTAACGTTGCTTTGAGTTCATTTCCCTCAAAATCTTGCACAGAGTTGGATAAGAGTCATTAGGCAGTCTGGTAGCATTTCGTCATGGGGTAGATATTATTACTGTTTGGGGGTGGTGCATTTCGAGGCCAGCTGTGGGGGGGAGGCAGTGGACAGGGGGAGGAAGGACAGTTGTTGAGTCTGCAGTTTTGACAGAATTGTTTGGTGAGGTTCTCTCTGCCTAGCAAACTCACAACCATGTTGCGTCACAACCTTATAAATGGGCAGCGCACCCCGCTGTAAGATGCACTGATTTATAATTTATTTATTTATTCAAAAATGTACACCCCACTTTTGCTCGTGGCTGAAGGCAGCATTCGAGCCACAATTCAAAACATACAAAATATAATAACCACCCAAATAGCCCAGATAGCCTAGGCTAGTCTGATTGCAGAAGCTAAGCAGGGTAGGCCCTAATTAATATTTGGAGGGGAAGAAGAAGAGGAGGAGACTGGATTTATACCCGCCCTTCACTACCCGAAGGAGTCTCAGAGTGGCCTACAATCTCCTTCCCCTCCCCACAACAGACACCCTGTGAGGTAGGTGGGGCTGAGAGAGCTCTGAGAGAACTGCTCCTGAGAGAACAGCTCTGAGAGAACTTGTGACTGAGCCAAGGTCACACCAGCAGCTGCATGTGGAAGGGTGGGGAATCAAACCTGTTTCTCCCAGGTTAGAGTCCACACTCCTAACCACGACCCCAGACTGGCCACCAAGGAAGTCCAGGATTGTGCCATGCAGGTAGGCAATGGCCAACCACCTCTGAATGTGTCTTGCCCTGAAAAGAAGAAGAAGAGAAGAGATTGGATTTATACCCCGCCCTTTAGTACCCAAAGGAGTCTCAGAGCATCTTACAATCTCCTTTCCCTTCCCCTCCCCACAACAGACACCCTGTGAGGTAGGTGGGGCTGAGAGAGCTCTTTGAAGAACTGCCCTTGAGAGAACAGCTCTGGTCACACCAGCAGCTGCATGTGGAGGAGTGGGGAATCAAACCTGGTTCTCTTAGATTAGAGTCCACACTCCTAACCACGACACCAAACCCTACAGGGTCGGCTGCGACCTGAAGGCAAAAAACAAACAACCCCTCCCTCCAAATCCACATGCCTATACTGTATTTAAAAACCCTAGCAAATTGAGTAGACTCGCAGCACCTCCTAAGCACCCCTAGAGGCAGCCCCCCCATTCACCTTGCCTGTCCCTTGAGGTGGGAGGTACCATGGAAAAGCGCCTGCTCTTGCTGATGGTGGGCGGGCTGCCTTGAGCAGGTGAACAGCCAGTAGGTGGCAGCCTGAGGACCATAGTTGGCACACGGGAGCGCCTGGAAGGAGTCGGTCCTTTACACAGGTGGCTCCAGGCTTTGAAGGGCTTCAGAGGTCATAACCAGCACACTGACTTGAACTCAGAAGCAGTCTGGCGTGCGCTGTACCTGTTTTAAAATGAACAAGTTATGTCCCTGTTGGCAAGCCCGACGGTAATTTCTCTGCGGCATTCTGTCTTCAAGAGCAGCCCAGTGTAGAGAGCGTTACCGTAATCCAGCCACGGGGTTACCAAAATGTTGGCTGAACCTTAAGATATGAGAGGGTTGGTGAACTGGGCACGGCTGATGGAAGACATTCTTGGCCGCTACACCAACCAGCTTTTCAGACAGCAAGGCTGGGGTCGTGAGCATCCCTGTGCTCTTACACTGCTCTGCAAAAGCTAGCAATCCTCCCCCCACCACAAGAAGAAGAAGAAGAGATTGGATTTATACCCCGCCCTTCACTACCCAAAGGAGTCTCAGAGCGGCTTACAAACCCCTTTCCCTTCCCCTCCCCACAACAGACACCCTGTGAGGTAGGTGGGGCTGAGAGAGCTCTTGACAGAAACTGCTCTTTTTCAAGAACAGCTCTTATCAGAACAAGTGGTTCCAGTCCCTCTGACCCACCAGCCTTTCCAGCTAGTGTTACCCCCATCTTGTCTGGATTCAGCTTCCGCTTGTTCTGTTTTAGCCGTGTAACCTGGGAATTAAAGTACTGCTGGGTGTCACCTTGCATATTAATGGCATCGAACCCTAAAGATTCCATGGCCGGATAACAGTTAATGGCATCGAGCGATAAAGATTCCATGGCCAGATAACAGTATTAAAGAGCGGGGACGGGGACACGACAGTGGAATCCAGGAGCACTCTTTGGGCCCACCCCCTTGAGTCTGCTCTAATGATGGAAACTCTTTGTGTCCAATCAGACAAGAAAGTAAAACCAGCTCTAATCGGTCTCACCACTCTACTCAAATCTCGTCCCCCATACCTGGCATGCGAAAGTCATCAACTTTTTTTTGTTTCTCCTCTAGTTGGCTTCTGTCGCTGTAACGCTCTTGCGGTTACATGTGGATTTCTTTATATCACAGTATCAAGCAGCGCAGCTAATAGAACAATGAGACGATTTTTGCCCACTGCACACACATGTAATTCTGTGTAGGATCAAAGTCTTTAGCCCTTTCTGATGGTGGGAGAACCCGGCAGAGTCCTGTGCTGAGAAAGATGCTTAAGAGGTCTGGGAATACAGCCCCCCCCCTAAACCAGCATGGCTTCCGACATGCTCTTTTGTGGCGTTAGTGGGGCAGTGCTCTGACGTCGGTCACGTGCTTCGAGGCTTATGGGGATTTGACTCCTGCTGCACGTCAGCACACCAGGCCAGGCCTTTGGTCTATCGGGCTCCTCCCCCTGCCCTACCCACCTATTCTAGTCACCTGTGCCGCTCACAGGTACTTTATATGTACTGAGTGGTGGGAATTCTTGCCGCTTGCTAGAAATCAGTGTATATGAGCAAACCTACAAGGGCTGAAACTTTCTGAGAGCACTTTAACCGTATTATTGCCATCTCGTGATTTATGTGTGGATTTGAATTTTAATCTCATGTTATGTTTTACTCTTTTAAATTGTTATATTTATGTGTCGTGAGCCGTCCAGAGCCGGCTTGCGGGGTCGGGCGGGATACAAATAAAATAAATAAACAATTTCATCTGTGCTTTGAAGAAGAAGAGGAGATTGGATTCATACCCCGCCCTTCACGACCCAAAGGCGTCTCAGACCGGCTTACAAATGTCTTTCCCTTCCCCTTCCCCACCACAGACACCCTGTGAGGTAGGTGGGGCTGAGAGAGCTCTGACAGAAACTGCTCTTTTTCAAGAACAGCTCTTATCAGAACTATGGCTTGCCCAAGTTCATCCAGCCAGGTGCAAGTGGAGGAGTGGGGAATTAAACCCAGTTCTCCCAGATTAGAAGAGTTTGGATTTATACCCAGTGGCCCTTCACTACCCAAAGGTGTCTCAGAGGGGCTTACAAACTCCTTTCCCTTCCCCCCCCCACA